GTACTATATAATGATACACACACACACACACGTATATATATATATATATATATATATGTGTGTGTGTGTGTGTGTGTGTATGCATGCATGTATACAGGTATCTTGTTTGTGTGTTTGTTTTAAACTTAAGCACAAAGTTACACAATTGGCTATGTATGATCTGCCCACCATGGATATCGAAACCCGGTTTCTGGCGTTGTAAGTCCGTAGACATACCGCTGTGCCATTAGGGGGCACAGGTATCTTGATCTTCCACAACATAGTTAACTACATTTTGTAATCATTTTGATGCCCCACTCAATGAGACAGCGGTAAGTCTATGGGCTTACAACGCTGAAATCCAGGATTCTATTCCCTGTAATTGACACAGCAGATAGCCCATTGTGTCTTTGCTTTAATACACACACACACACGTACACAAACATTCTCGATATGTTTGTCTTTATATATATCAGTAATTTTCAGACTTTTTACACAGAGAGCACTTCCTTTTGTTTGTCGTGCTTAACGTCCCCACCGATACACATACACACACACACACACACACAAACATTCTTGATATGTTTGTCATTATATATGACACTTCCTTTTGTTTGTCGTGCTTAACGTCCCCACCGATACACACACACACACACACACACAGAGGTAAAGATACAGAAATCCAATATGGCACAATCACTAACTATTAAAATTTATAATACACCAAAGGTTTAACCAGACATTCATATAACATATAATAAATTTTACGTACGACATCAATTATCCACTAATGAATACGTATGCAAAATTTCTTTGTGAATGTTCCGACGGCCCCTCCCTATGATTGATTGCGCGCATCCTCCAGTTTGAAAACCACTGACCTACATATTAGTGTATTAACTCTCTACATTACTTTTTGCTTATTTATTTATATGTAGTTTCAATCACACAGTAAAACGATCGAACACTTACCGCATCGGCCTCCTCTAATCTCGTGTGATTGCGTGAAATTAGTGACGCAAGATTCAGGAACAGCTGTAGGTGAGACTGAGTAACTCGGCTTTCTGATGATTTGACACTACAGACTTGAGGAAAGAGGGATTTAGCCTGCCGAAAGAAGATAACCTTATCGTTGTTTCGCAGAGGGTAATCCTGATTTAACAAATGTCTTAGGGATTAACTATCTAGTATTCTGATCACCTTAGAGATAAAGCACGAAACAAATAACTCTCTTTACTGTACGAGAAAAGTCGAAATTGAAAAGTTAACAAATTGAATAAAGTGAAAGCAAATAATTAATAGATATTTAAGGTATCGGTATTAATATAATAGGTGTGTAAGTGCAAACGATAATGAAAATGGTTTGTTTGTTTTTGAATTTAGCGCAAAGCTACACGAGGGCTATCTGCGCTAGCCGTCCCTAATTTAGCAGTGAAAGACTAGAGGGAAGGTAGACAGTCGTCATCACCCACTACGAACTATTGGGCTACTTTTTCACCAACGAATAGTGGGATTGACCGTCACATTATAAAGTCCCCACGGCTGAAAGGGCGAGCATGTTTGGTGGGACGGGAACTCGAACCAGCGACCCTCAAATCGCGAGTCAAGCGCCCTAACCACCTGGCCATGCCGGGTGATGTAAATGGTTGTGCAAGAGCTAAAAAAGAAAGAAAGAAAGCCGTTGTGCAAGTGTAAAGATTAGGATCGTTGTCAAGTGTAAAAAGTAAAAACATGAAAAACTATCTTTAGCGACTCAGTTCACTACAATCTTGGTTAATAATGCGTTTTTAACAAAGCATAAGGTAGACCAAAGAATTTACTAAATTAAAAATTCTCAATCATTCTAAAGACTATAGTTATGTGAAGTGGTCAAACTACAGACCACAAGCACTAAAATACAATGGTCTTGTTTAGTCAAGTTGAAATTGAACATGGATACAATATATAAAGTTATCCTACGTATTGATATTTTCTTTAGGTTCACCTTTCACGTAACTTATATGTACGTGTTTTGTTGTATTAGGTACTATGCTGTGTTTCAAATGTAATGCTACAAATGGAGGCGTTGGCTTCCCTCTTCCAATATTTTGAACCCTGGTACACGAACCGGTTGACCGATGCAAAGATACATGTGCTACATGCGGTGTTAAACGTCACTTTCTGTCAGAGGAATTTAATATATATATGTATGTATGTATGTATTTGCCAATTGTAAAAATAAAATGCTTTTAATTATAATTCTTAATATTATAAATATATGCTGTGTTGTTGTTGGGATTATTCTTCAGTAGGTGTCTGTGACTTGTTGGCGATAAATCTAACGATAAATGAACAGCACGCACTTCACTTGTTTTCAAAATAATATATATATATCATAAACACTATTCATATATAGTTCTCTTCTTCTTGTCATAAGTCCACTTAGGCCTATTCAATTGCTTTAGAATTTCAGTTGACAAGCCGAACTATTTTCTCTATTACTATCGCACTAGTATTCTGTGTGTGATTCACTTACAATAGTGGCACGAGTTACCGCAATCGTTTGGTCTCCTTTCTTCAAAATATCCTCTGTTCCCTTTGTCAAAGTGCTTTCAGGCTGATTCAGTTGCTTTAGAACCACGGTTTGGCGGAATAAATTATTCTTCTTATTTCCTTCTCTACTGTTAGTCTTACTGTAAGATATTAAACGTTAGGCGTATCACTTCTACGGTGGTTAAATTCACGCCGAACTTTTTCTTATTGGAACTTTGTTCTCTTCTGCTGTTGTCTGTCTTCTTCTTCTTTTTTTGCTCATCTCACACTATATGTTTATCACTTAATCGTCTGCCCGTCTTCCAGAAATCTCTATACTCTCGACGTCAATGTATTGCAAGCGACGTTTGATAGTCTCAACATCAATGACTTATAAACATAACTTCCTACAATCGTCTGCTTTTAATTCTTATTATAACAAAAACTAAACAATAATAAAATATTCACTCACAAAATATATTAATTAATAATATCTAAACAGACTTTTATATCATGACACTTCCATTTGGCGTCGGCGTCACGAAAGTTGATATCGACCTCCTCGTTCAGTTGAGCCTATATCCATGGCTATCATACTCGAACAAGTCAGTTCGTCCAATTTCTTATTCCTTTAAAATCGATCTGTAGGAGAAGTGCCGAAATTCCTCTTCCAAATTTCTTCGAAGCCGGATCAACCAGTTCCCCATAACAACTTGTGACTCCAGTCAGAGGGACAGACAAGGAACTCTGCTTGATGTATGTAGAATTATTGAATAACTGATCGTGTATTCATATTAGCTTGCTGCGTAGTTTCAGTCATAGGGGGACTTTCTACACAAAATTTCAGCTAGTAGTTCAAAAACCTGTATGTTTCATGTGTTCCCTTTAATACATCACAACAACAACAACAAAAAACTACATGTTTGTTACACACAGTTGTACGTAGATAAAAATATATTTTATTATAAAAACTAAAGTAATAAACTTGAAGTTATGCGTTGGAATGATTTCTTGGACAGAATAAAATAAATCTTTATGAATGAATAAAAATAACTATACTTTTTCTTTTCACAAAAATCAGTCAACATTCTAACTTTTTATATTTTTCCAGGAAAAGTCCTTCAAAGTTAGTTTTCACCAAAAGAGGATGAGAAAAACACATTGATCAGACATCAGAATCAATTCACGAACCGTTCGACTTCCTTTAGAACACAGGCTTTTTCTTTAATCTCTGATAAAGCTCCATGGAAGATAAACACAATGACTAACAAATCCCTTTCTTGCTCACCTTGAGGTAGACCAGTTCGGCTTCTTGATACTTCTTCATGCGCGTAAACACCCGACCAGAATTGAGGTATCCTCGTATATCGTCAGGCTGAATTCTGAGGAAATAAAATAGAAAGTCAAAAGCACGAAATTATTGTTAAATTATCATTGTTAAACTGCCAAGATAATGATCTGTATCTCTTGTTAAATAAAAATCAATAAATTAGGTTATAAGAGTAGTTAATGCGTTATCATAATTTGTGTATTTTCGACATATCTTCAAAATACCGTGATTACATTTCTTTATTTTTCTGATTGATAAAACCTCTTTATCAGACTTTCATCACAAATCGGATCTTTTGTGTATTGAAAGAAGTATAACTTTACGTAACATCTGAGCTTTTAAAAGTGTTTACAAAGAGAAGCTATCATATTTCTGCTTTAGTTACACGGTTATAATGCCTGTTTTGTTTATATCCTTTGGGCTTTCTACAACTAATACAACTTTTCAAAAGATGCTTTTATGAATTCCAGTCTAACTTAATTAATATATACATTCGCAATATCTACAAACTAAACTTGTATTACTTGCTGCGAGAGAAAAAAAATCACTTTAATTAAATTACATATTTCTATGATGAGCTCAATAAATCCTAACGTATACCACATGGAAATAATTTGAAATATTTATTAATTTATTAAGTATAAATTCCCGTCAAGATATTTTAGTTAAAACCTGTTAAGAATTTGGTTTTCACTAAGACTGTCTTCACTCGTAATTTATCTTTGTGTATGTGTGAAAAAGTTGTTGATCGACTATTGTGAAGTAACAAGAACAACTAACAGAAAGTTCCTAAAATTATCTTGGTAAAAGTACACAGCCAACTTTATTGTTTATATATTACTTCTGAATGTATTATATTGCTAAGATATATCATTGTCCACAAGTTTCAATCTTTTGCCTTAGATTCACTCGAAATAATAACTTTACTTTTTTTTACTTAACAGCTTCTCAGATATTTTTCTACATTAACATGCTAAAAATCAATTCGATGTGCAAACTTTCTACAATTTCATTCAAACATCACATTGAAAACCTTTGATATTGATTTGCGAAATAAATCATTATCAAAGAAACTGGCTTCTGTTACATTGATTGTCTGCATATATTATGCAAACGATAGTTTCACATGTAAACAAATACAAAGAGAGGAAACCTTTATACAGTAAGAAAACAAAAAGATACAAATAACTAATGGTATGACTGCTTTTAATTACACTCATTAATTTTCGTTTTAGAGATTAAATATAGCTTGTCAGGTTTGAGTTTTAAGAACCTGGTAATTTACAGCGTTTCCTGATAAATCTTTTCATAAGGGTGTATTACCTGGCCTATTTTACACGTGACATGCTTTCCTAACTACTTTAAATGTTCATCTTGTCAACATATGATGAATTACAAACAGCTGAGCTTGTTACCTGTTCCTATAGAAACAGAGATGCCACAGTATAGTTCAGACGCGAAAAAAGTGCGAGAAAAAACATTTCTGAATCGACAATCTATAAGGATAAAGCATGACGATACTTGGAAATATAATCCAAATTTCAACTTTCAACGACTTTAAGTCACACCACTTAACTAGTTTGTTTTCTTGGCATCACTCCTGGTTCAACGGTTAAAGTTGAACGGTTGTTTAGCTGTGCGGTAGGAGTTTAAAAACCACTCTTTTGAAGTTCCAAATTTGTACTCTTACCTAATTGCTTGTTGAAAATACTGTAAGGCCTCCTCATATTTAGCTTGTTCTTCTAAGGCTTTACCCAAATTGTTGTAAAGTTTGGCATTTTTCTGGTTGACTCGGAGACCAGACGTAAACAGCGTTTCTGCTGACTTCCTATATGCATATAACCATTTAGTGTTTTATATTGTTCTGGAACTTATGAAATCTAACTATTTGTACAGTTCCTTTTATGCACTAGAGCACAAAATATGACACGTATCTAACTTACAAATTAAAGAATACATGTACATTATTATGATAAGCATCAGTAACCTAAGCCTAACTTTTATTGGGAAAGGTCTTTAACTGAAAACAATGAAACATTCAATATTTCAGATAGTTTTCGCCAATAGATGTCGTTAGGATTTTCTTGGGGGTGAGAGAACGGTTCGTCTCTGTTCCTGGTGGATCTTTCTTAAATATGCATGCATGAACATATATATATATATATATATACACGCAAAGCAGGACGTGTTATGACGAGAAATCCATCATGAAACACACGCAAAGCTGCACGAGTTATAACGAGAAATTCATCATGAAATAAACGCGAAGATGCACAAGTTATGACGAGAAATCCATCATGAAATAAGCGCAAAGCTGCACGTGTTATGACGAGAAATCCATCATGAAATAAGCGCAAAGCTGCACGTGTTATGATGAGAAATCCACCATGAATAATCTATGTAGAAATAAATATCTATGCATATTTCAAAAATAAACTGTACATTAATTACTCATCAATTGATAGAGGCTTATATTGGCTCATAACTGTACTTACGTAAATATATTTCAAATAACTATTTTGGATTTTTAAATATAAGGTAAACTTATTGCTATTCGAATCTTTCAGTTTAAGGACGGCCCGGGATGGCTAGGTGGTTAGGGCGCTCGACTCACAATCTGCGGGTCGCGGGTTCGAATCTCCATCACACCAAACATGCTCGCCCTTTCAGCCGTGGGGCATAATAATGTGACGGTCAATCCCACTATTCGTTGGTAAAAGAGTAGCCCAAGAGTTGGCGGTGGGTGGTGATGACTAGCTGCCTTCCCTCTAGTCTTACACTGCTAAATTAGGGACGGCTAGCGCAGATAGCCCTCGTGTAGCTTTGCGCGAAATTCAAACCAAACCAAACCAGTTTAAGGACTGTATCGCATTGTATCGAACTAGCTAGAAGTGTGTAAGGGTAAGCGTATTTAGTTGTCCCAGCGTTTGGTTTGTTTTGAATTTCGAGCAAATCTATTCGAGGGCTACCTGCGCTAGCCGTCCCTAATTTAGCAGTGTAAGACTAGAGGGAAGGCAGCTAGTCATCACCACCCACCGCAAACTCTTGGGCTACTTATTTACTAACGAATAGTTGGATTCACTGTCATATTATAACGCCTCTACGGCTGAAAGAGAAATTTGTTCAGTGAGAGGTTTCGAAATCGCGGGCTGCAAATTGCAAATTGCAGTAAATGAAAATAATTTTAGATTTATACTTGCCAGAACGCGATTTCTGAGTATGGCGACTGCCTACTCAGTACTGTGTAGAACAGTATGGTACTTCCCCATTGTACTGAGAAACGTGGCCGTTGGCCGTTAAGTATGTTTAAAACGTTGTGCTTGTGCTAGAGATATCCGTTTCGCTGTTAGCCTGCAAGGAGATATGACGGAACGAGGAATTAATGTTTATTTGTAGTTCAAAAGGAGGTTCGTTTGTAACCCAGATCGCCCCCTGTCATCAGAAATTATTTCACAAACCTCTTGTACGTTCCTGTAGTAAAATAGTGTTTAGTTCCTGAACTTAACATAATCTTTTGCAAAAGGTTAATTCAATTTTTCATTTATAATTACATTTACCTTCACCCGGTAGTCAACCAGTAAGTCTGAGAACTTATAACTTTAAAAATCGGATTTCGATACCCGCTGTGAACACAGCGCAGATAATCCATTTGTGTAACTATGTGCTTATTAACAAACAAAGAAAGTAATTAAGTTTATTCTTATGCACATTAACTGACTTTGTTCATTTTTTTATTGTCGTTTATTGTAATCAAATGATAAATACATGGACTTGCGATATTTTTTATTTTTGTTTTGCAAATATACTTTATACGACTTCAGCATTTAAAGCGTTCTTAATCATTAGAAAGGAGAAGTTTCCTTTTCCTGTATTTCGAAACCGCAAGGGGGGACAGTTGTTATAAAGGACAATGACAATGTACACTTAAATGTAATTCGAATGTTTAGTTAATAACTTAGCCTAAATTCGCATGTTTAATTAATAACTTAGCCTAAATATATATACTTGTTCGTTTGAAGTAAGACACAAAGTTACATAATGAGATATAGGGGCTATGTCCCTCGCAGGTATCGAAGCCCGATTTTTAGTGTTAGAAGCCTAACTTACCACTGAGCTACCAGGGGTAAATATATATATATGTGTATGTATACAAAATAACGATCAATGGTATGCTTTATAACGGTGTAACTTTCAAACTAAACTATTGTGAGGTAAATTGTTAATCTTGAACGTAGTATAAATGTTTTACCAATTAATACGCATTTAAATATTTGGAAGTTTGAGAGAAACATGGATTCTGATAACAGGTTAATACCGCAGATAAATTTAGTCATTTGAAAATTATGATGTCCTTATAATCGTGTAGGATAATTCTTAATCATTGTTTTTAAATGAACTATGATATTGTGGAGATGTATATGAAGTTATAGCGATGGGGAAGGAGACAGATATGGAAGAAAGTAATAAAACTGTTATAATAAATTGTTACGGAGACACGTTTAGGGTTATATATTATTTTTTATAGAAATAACACAGTCCTTTTTTAATATTTAAAAGATCCAGCAGTCCAAAAATGCAAACTTCATGTGAACACGTGCATGTTTAAATTATGTACAACTTTTCAAAAACAGGTAAAGTATACCGAACAACAAAATGTAACATATAATAAAAAAAAAACCGTGTACAAATATCAAGCATACAGTTGGTTTCTATTATAATATGTAAACCAAATAATTAATGTATGTGTTAGTCTAGATAAGACAATATAACATAATAAACAAATAACACAATAGTCTATAAAATAATTTTAAATTTATTGTTGGTTTACAGTAAGTACACATATGAAGTGTATGGAAATCTTAGTCCAAATAAACTTTAGTTCCATGGAAAAGGTAACTTAGAGAGGAAGAAAAAAAAGCATTATCTTTAGTTATTCATGTGTGGCGTAAGCTAAAACAAATAACTGGACGTGTTATATTGGTTGTGGTGTTTCAAACATTGGACATAACTTACCATTCTCTGTTCCTTAAAACCGTCTTCATTGCGTGAATAGACACCAGAATAACGAAACCAATGGTAGCTAGCCCTCTCAGGCGCCTGCAACACGTGGGAAGTAAGATCAATTTCATGACTTATTCCTAGTAATAAGTATAGGATTCTCTACAACGCAAGTCCTCCTTTTTTACGACTTTTTTTTTCTCTCTCTTCTATTCTACTGTTCTAATGCACTTCCATCATTACAGCGTTACAGAAAAAAATGTTTTTTTATCCCCTGTGTCTTCTACTCAGAATGCGTATGCGTGTGGATAAACTTACAGAAAGATTTAATGATTTTTTTTATTTACTTATCGATTACCTACAGATGTACGCCATTCTAAACCACTAGCGAACATTATATATTTTAACTTCTTTCATTATGATTTTACCTTCTGTAAGATAATTTGTCAAGAAAATAACATTAGCACAGAACATTTCCCAATGTTCACTATTATTCTATTTTCGTACCATATGAGCTTAATTTTCTTTTCTTAAAAATAATGTCACCAAAAAGCAGTAAGTGTCATTTCGGTTGTTGAGCTCTTGGAACGCACCTCTGTATTATGTATAAGTAACCACATTTAATAGTGCCCGTATAAAAACATCACGATTATGTAAAATATAATGAGAAGTTTTTATTATGCTATTGAAAAATATATAGTTTACTTTAACTGTTCTGTCGATCCCTTGTTTAAAGCTTTCATTCTTCCTTCCAAGTTAGTTATTCTCAGACTTAATTAGTAGAACTTATTTTTTGTGCGTAAGTATAATTGCGTAGTGTATTTATAGGCTGTGCTGGCAGAAGAAACATCAGACAGTTAAGCCTGAAAAAGGCTACAGGATGCAGCCAAAAGCCTGTATAAAAAATAACAATAATAAAAAATGTAGCAAGTTCTTCAGTAAGTTGTTTCCCATAGTTATTATTACTTTCTTTAAAAGCAATTATTATAATATTGTGCTAACTTTTTGTAATACATCTCACAAATAAATGATCGTAATTTAGCTATATTTCTGGTTCTTCTACATCTATAGATGTTTAGTAATTCGAATGTTTCTGGAACCGGTTTATAACTGTGTAGGTTTGGTTTGCTTCTGCTTATACGATAACTTAACTAAGGTGTTATTTTTGAAATATTTCTGGGACTAAGATTAACTTGATGGATGCTTTGTACTTCAAATGAAACTAGGTCTTATCTGAGGTACTTTTAGATAACCAACTGTTAGTTAGCATGTCTGTGACTTTCACTGAGAATAATTTTATGTAGGATTCTTCTACAGTTATAAATGTTCTTGAATGGGCTTGTAGGAAATGAGTTATAACAGTTATTTTTGGTAATTTTTCTGGATCTGATAGCTTGTTGGACTTGGTATAATAGCTGAAAACGAATTATAGACGGGTTAATTTTTTATTTGTATGCCTTAATTTTAATGGCTTTTACACTGAGACACATTTTGATGAGGTTGATACTATATTTGAAACTAGGCTTAACCGGTTATTTCTAGGACTATAAGTGTTATTTTTAGACCGAGATATAACACGATTGTGTATCTGATATCCTAGGTCTGCACTGAGGTCACAACACGTACATACAAGCCTGCTGCCGACACGTGTGTACTGCATGCATACCTTCTTAAAACAAAGATTAAGCATAGAGTACACCAGGTGAATCACTAAATAATAGTGCCTAGGTGATCCAATGGACACAGATACCATAGACAGAAAACAGCTTGATAGTTTTGAGGTGAGAAAACTGTGTATATTAATGGAGGAGCTGGCAACGGGCCTGAACTCATGAAATAATAAGACTTTCTTTGTTGTGTACACAAGTAATAAATAAATAACAGAAATGGATGTCAAATTTCACCATATTCATAATAAAAATATAGAAGCATTTCCTTACTTATCTTGCCATAAATGACTCCAACCCATGGCGATGAGCATGCAGAAGCCCATACTCGGAAGGTAGAGCACGCGCTCGGCAACAACGAATCCAACATGGTACAAAATATTGGAAGCTGGTAGAAAAGGGACAACAGCCATAGACAAAGCCTAGAGAAAAGTTTGGATCTTTCCGGTCAAAAGAAAAGTGCCCCATATAACTCTGCAATTAACCTTCTATAGCAATGAATCTTCTTAAAATTAAAATTGATTGAAATAAAGTATTAAAAGCTTTTATACAGAGAGTGACTCTTGAAAAAGTTCAAGAAACATCAGTGATATTCACATGAAGAATTAACGTTTATATCAAATATCTACCAGAGAGCGTTATAATAACAGCGACTAATCTAAACAACGTTTCGGTTTTATATACATTGTCAGTATCAGTAAAGGCTTTCCTCAAAAAAGTATGCCATTTAGTTCCGGATCCTTTTCTTTCTTATTAAGATTTTTGAAAGACCTTTTCTAATTCTTTTACTTATTCATCTAGCTAAACTTACCATTATAACAGTTACTCTTTGATTTTGTTCTGTAAACCAAGAAAACCGTAATAAAAGAATTACGAAGACACAAAAACATAAAGTAGAAGTATTCCTTAGGTCCCTAAATGACGTCAGTAAGGAGATGGTGCCCATGGTCCAATCACAACAAAGATCACAAGGAAAAAGTAGAAGCCAGGCATTTACTGACCACAAATAACTAAATGTGAGGTGTCGTGTAGGAAAGCGAGCAACTGAAGCCGGGTTGTCAAACCTGCAATGAAAACAGC